CGCTCAAAAATGGGTCGCGTAACCCCAATAATTGGTTTGTGATGGTGGAAAGGTGTCATGGGAAAGATGGGGACATGATATCGAATGATCTCATACATACAACATTATTTGAGCCGCTAGAACACTCACTAACAAGTTGGTTGAATCTAATGTATTCTTCCCTTTTCGAGATCTATGAAACCGGGTACAACTACTGGATTAGTGATCGGATTCCTCTGGCGGCTGGGCACAAGCCTCAATGCAGGCCCATGTGCGTTTATTAGGAGAACAAGCGGGCTCCTCAATCTGGACGAGATCCCGTTGCATTGATGACTGCTGATCTGACCGTTGGTTGGTCCAACGTCAGACAGGGTCTTTTAGGCGCATATCAAAGTTCACTTGAAAGACGGAGAACAGTCTGGTCGAGGGTGAGAATATCGGTGTAGTAGCCTTCATGTCCCAGGTGGTAAAACTTGCGATTTCACTCCTGGTATTTTGCTATGTACGGACATTTCTCGCTCGCAGTGATATGATCTGGTATGCAAAGCACGAAAAACCAGAGCACAGTAAAGTTACATCTACGACTGTCTTTCTGCCAGCTCTTTGACTCTGTGGCCAGCCCAAGCCCCATACCCCTTCAACATGCCTGTTCCCGTCCCCTTCCACTGCGCCGAGTAAGTCTGTATCCGCCGATACCTTTCCACCATCCACACCTTCTCCCGCCGCTCCATCTCAACAACCTTCTCTTTCCCTCTGCCTTTCACTGCTTCCCCAACGACAGCATACGCCGTCTTGGCAAGACATACGGGACACAGGTACGGCGGCTGCCGGCCATCCTCGCCAACCCCAGCCGTACTCTGCATGACGCAAGCATAGAGCGCACAGTGCGCCAACCCAAGGCAATGCCCGAGCTCATGGCTCGCTGTCCGACAGACACTCGCAAGCCAGACTGCACTCCAACCGCCCTTGCCCCGTGGCACCATACCGCTCCGCGCGGCCAAGACCGCCGCGCGGAGGCCTCCCTCAGCAGGTGTTGCCGATTCGGACGTTTCGCCTTCGTGATCGCACACGGCTTCGATCCACCACGCGCAGTGCGAGGCGGGCCAGGCGTGCGAGCGGTCGACGTCGTTGTGCGCGTCGAGGGCCGGATTGTACCGGAACGAAGAGACGAGGCAGATGCGTGAGGCCCCGTAGGCACGGCCGCAGCAGAAGTCATCGGAGGGAGACTCGTAGGTGTCGTGGTGGGTAAGAAGCATGACGGCGTAGGCGTCTTCTGGCAGGGGCGCCGCGAGAAGGGCGTCGAGGAGGTCGCCGAGGTTCAACTGGTGTGAGACGGCATCGGGCGAGGGACGATGACGGATACGGGTGCAATCACCTGATGGATCGGCAAGGCCTACATATGAGCCCGAGGACGAAGGCTGTGCTGTAGGCCAGGTGACAAAGGTGTAGTGCGACTTGAGGGTCTTGATGGAAAGGCCGTGGTAAAAAGCCTCGAGGTACGCGGCTATGTCAGAGGCAACAGGACGCGTGAGATTTGACGGAAGCCCGGGTGGCGGCGGATACTCAGGCGGAACCTTGGGCTCTAGCCAGGCATTCATGAACGAAACCTCATTTGAGACTGTGGGAGCCTCTATCACGTACAATGTACTGCGTGTGGATGTGACGCGGTTTCTTCCTTTGCGCAGGGCAAATGACCGAAGCCCGTCTGGATCTTGTTTGGGGTCCTCGGCAATATCGTCTCCTGGCAACACAAGCGGCGCGGGGAACGTTAAAGAGCTGGGAATGTCCTCAGGGGCAGTATAGTTGGAGGGTTGCTTAGAATGGCTCGCCTCACTCAGCCGCTCTTCAATGCTGGGGTAAACATAACCAGCTTCAGTCGCATGCGGAGAGACACCCGTGTAAAGTCGCTTATGGGCACATGACTGGGGCCGGGTGGGAGCCATGATCTTCCAGGTCTTTATATGGTGGCCTTAAGTCTCGGTGTATTGTCAGCGGACGAGGTGACCAAATGATTCTGTGGATACTTATAATTGTGGCTTGACGTCAAAGGTTATCGGAACGATGAGTCATTTGAAGCTGAAAATTCGTTTCCATAGTAGATGAATATGATCCTGTGATGTCTCGAAGGATCGATATTGGTGCTCATAACGGCGGCGCTAGACGCGGCAAGACGCGTCGAACCAGGTGTATAGTACGGCATGCTACTGTAACCACTTGGCAACAGAGACGTCTGGCCAATTGCCTGCTATTGGTATCCTTGATCAAGCCATCACCTGCCCAGAACGGAAAGCTGCGCCTTGCATAATTTTGACCACCGTATTTTCCAGCGGCTGCTGCCTAATATTAGTTGCCTCGTTTCGCATCTGGTCGCTCGGATTGCAAAGATTTCCAGGGATGCATCTCGCCAGGCCCCAAATGAGCATCGGTGCCTCGCTGCTTCGAGCCTGGGGCAGAGCTGGATGAACGCATTCATAACTCTAAAAAGTTGCTACCGCCACCCCAAAGTCCCGCTTGTAGTGCTCTGGAAGCCAGGCGTCGACCGCCACGCTCCGGCTATGGAAAGACTGGATCTCACATCTTATATCACCTTCGTTCTTTTGGAGATTAATAGTGCCATCCTTTGAGGGGCAACATGTTCTCTGCCGCTGCACTATTCAATCTTGGCCCCCCTCGCAATATCCAAGCGCTTCTTCTCAGCCTGCTTCTTCAAGGCCACTGGAAGCAGGTCCGGATACCACACCTTCGCAGTCTCTACGAAGCTCGTGAGCATACTGACAAACACAGTGTCGCCGACAGAGTCGTCAAATATCCCAGAAAAGAATGTTCCAGAGTCAGCAACTATCCTCTCGCCCCTAGACAGGTCTACGACGTGTGCCGGAACATCTACCGCAAAGTCATCCGGCATCAGACGGAGGTTGACATTTTGAAAGAAAGGAATCGAGAGTCGTGAGCCTAAGCGGTTCCCATGCTTGTCAAGAAATCCAGTCGAGCCAAGTATCACACGATGCGTCGTCGCGATACACACTCCGCGTGTAAGAATCTCCAGTAGGCGGCCGATGTTCACCACGAGAGTCCCCGGGATCGGAGGGACGGCGATCCAGTTACCAGTCTTGCTCTGCACTTCGAGGCAGTTGTGATCGCCTCCTTGGAGCAGATATGTCATGAATGAACTGTCCTTGTGCGGAGCAATTCCATAGCGAGCACCCCTATTTGACTCCTCCAGAGGGGCAGGGTACATCCGTAGATTCAGGCGACTGAACGGCGCGTCTTTGAACAGCCAACTGAAAGAGTTGGTCTCCAGGCCGAGGGCCTCAGATGTTAATGAGATGAAGGATGTGGCCAGGTCTTGGACGGCACAGCGGTACGTTTCAACGGCCTGGTGAAAGTCCGGTACGGCATTTTGATCTGGCCACTCCAACGACAAAGCAGTCAGTACCTGCAGTGTGCACATAGAAAGGTCTCGGAACGAACATGCTCACCTGGCTAGGGCCGTGCAGGTTGAGATACGCCAACGCAGCTGGGTTCGGAGGAGGATAGTCGGGCCCAAACTTCGGCCGCACTCGAGTTAAAAAATATTTTCCAAATTAGCGAGGAGCGGATAAGACTCACAAATACAGATTCGTTTTGGCCTGTAATAGCCACAGTCTTCTCAGAATTCATTCTGTTATACCCAAGGAAATGCTTGCTGTGCGCCATATCAATATCCATTTTCTTTTGCAGGGGAAGACTGAAGAAGGCATTTGTCTGCTCGAGCACGGCTCTTTGCACCTCTTCGGGAATCGAATGATTGCTGAGGTAGAAGAATCCCACATTCACAATGGCATTCCGCAGCTGTGAGAGGAATTCCGCCTTTCCGGTTGGGTGCTGTGAGAGAGAATAGTCCAGAACGGGGACTTCTGTGAATTCACCCTCCATGGTGATACGGCAGGCATGGACATTGGCAAAGATCCGATGATTAACTGCACTGTTCTCTCTTGCTTCCTGGGAAGCGTATATGTATCTGAACTCCGTGGTCTCTGTCGTTCTTCAGTGCCTCTGTCGTTCTTCAGTGCCTAGAATCAATGAAGTCTCGCCGGCTCCACTGAGACAATGTGCTGGTACGTGACGGGCAGTTACAGAATGCATGGTCGATTGCGTTTCACACAATATCGAGTTTAGAGTAGCACATAGTTGGTGCTGGGCTTATGTATACAGATGAGATGGGTCGAGGCAGGCATGGCGGGACGTTACATGCACACGAGAGAGCGCAGTCTCCTCACATGGCGTTCTAAAATCTGGCTCAGTCGTGTCAATCCACATGAAGTTTCACAGAGTGGGCTGAATTATCAGGTGGATATAGCAAGAAGACGGAGAGAGTTTCCACAATGAACGTAAAGCCTGCCTAGAGATAGTTGAAAATCCAACCAGCTGGCTACATCGCGTGACAATGGGATATAGCTGCCTTTTGAGCCTTCACCAAATGCATAAGCTACGGATTTCTAATGATTCGCGGGGCTCTGCGTCGTCGTTGTCTTCTAACTCAGCGCTCGAGTGTAGGACGCCGCCGGCAGCAATGCTGCCAGCTCGCTCCTCGTCACTGTCGAAAAATCTCAGAACTAGACACTCCTCGGGCGTCTGGTTGTCGATCCAGTACCATTTGTGCTGCTGAGAGTACCTGGCCAGATAGCACTCCGCCGAGTGCGTCTCGCAGACACCCTCGCGGCCCAGGGAAGGTGTGGGCACGGCCGCCGGGACGTAGTCGTCTTCCCTGAAAGTCGTATAGTCCAAAACTGCTAGCGGATCCCGGCGCACTGTCTTAAGTGGCCTCCATGTCGAGTAAAGCGCCCATCGGGGACCGCCGCTATGTTTGTAGCTATCGCTCAGGTCTTTGCCAGCAGCCAACAGGGAATCCTCAAAACGGATGATCTCGGCAGCAGCCTCTGCGGTCTGGGGATGGAACCTCCGGATGTGCATCCGGGCCCCGTCGGGCGAGTAATCCAAGTGGATTTTAGACGCGGGACTGCCACCTCCAGAGATGGGGTCGAATCCGATGAATTGGGGAAATCCGGTCTTCAGCTCAGAAGTGTTGTCGCCTGCGCTCCCATGAGTCGCAAGAGAGTCAGTGGCGGACCAGAGCGCACAGCGTAGGAGAAGAGCCTCCGTGACGACGGTTGTGCACCCAGTCAATTGCTTGAGAGCCAACTCGGTGTCGGGAATGACGTGCTGCTTGAGCAGTTCGGGGTTTTTGAATGAATCAGGGCAGTGCGGAGGTGCGTGCAGGGCTGTTGGACGCCGAATCGCTGTGAAGCCGTGATCCCTCAGCGAAACATGGCTAGAGCTTGTGGTCAGCTCGTCAAGAGCAGGGACAGGTCGGACGGAGTGAAGAGGCAGGAAATGCGTGTCGCCGAACTCCGTGATGTCAGGAAGATGGAAGTTGTGAGGGCTTGGTTGTGGAGTATGTCCTTCGGCAACATAACGTAGCTTCGCTTTTGTCAAGGCTGCGGCGGAGCGACTTTGCTCGGCATGGACAGTGATCGTGGCGAACATGGTAACTCAATTTTTGGATGGTCTTCTCACCACGCCCGTAGCATTGAAACGGCAATTTTCCAAGACAAGACCTACTAGCATCCGCTATTGACGAGCTTGAAGATTAGTGATCGAGTTGTTATCTGTAATTTGAACCACCATAATCGTCCCCGTCGCGATGTCGGCAGGTCGTGGGAGTGTAGAAATCAGGCTGTAACACAGAGCAACATATCGATGCAATCGCTTCTCTTTGTTACACCAGGCCCACAGAAAGACACCATCGCAGCAGTGGTCCTTCTGACCGCCGGTTGCCTGCATTGTTCGACTGATGCAGCGAACCAAGATACATTGGAATGTCCGTGTCGGATACCTCTCATCCAGTCACCCGCTATGTGCGGATTCCCTCATCAAGAAGTGAGAGTGCGAGACAAGCATGATACTGCATCCGTGCTTTACCTTGGTCGCTGCAATACTGGAATCAGTGAGGAGTAATTAGGCCACTCCGGCGGAGCTCGTACTGCATACGCGCGCCGCCGGAGTCACACATGTCGCTTCTCGTCGAGAATTGACAGCACTTGCAGCAAGCCAAGCACAGCGACCATGCAGGCATCCCATCCATCTCCCCGACCGCTAAAACGATACTGGTTCTACCATGTCTCACCGAGGATTGTCCCGGATATATGCAGATCACAGCTACACGATGACCCGAGAGTCTTTCGGCAGCCGGCCGCTGTGTATCGTCTTTCCGATCAGTAAGACGGTGCTGTGTTCCGCCCACGTAAAATTAGGAACCAAACTATGAGAATTTCAACATAGATGGGTGATTCCGGGACTCCAGTGTGTAAAATGATGCTCCATGTTTAAATCGATGGAGCCTGTACGAGTGGCAGGCTGCTGACATCGCGCAACGTCGGCGTTTCATTTAGGCAGATTAGAGAATCGAAGAAGAAAAACAAACTGCGTAAGAACGTTTTGTCATCCATGGTTTTGTTCTCGGTATGCCAGGCATATGTGGTTGATGAACAGATGGAACACAGCTTGAAGAAAGAGATCTCGCGCCTGTACAAGCTGAATCTTCATCATTCTTACAGCCTCCAATGACCTCAAACAGCATGGAAAGCGCTGCAACATTACGAGCTGGAAATCTCTTCAGCGTAACAGGACTCATCGCAGTCGTGACAGGTGGCGGTACAGGTATGCTCGGGGACAACAGAATCGAGCCAGAGTTGACGTGCTGAGCCTCCTGCTTAGGCCTAGGTCTTCTTATGACCAAAGCACTGGTTGCCAATGGGGCCACTGTTTATGTATTGGGAAGGCGCGGCGATGTTCTGAGGCAGGCCGCTCAGAGTACAAGCGTTGAGGCTGTGAAGCCGGTTATTTGCGATGTCACATCCAAGGCAAGCCTCACATCCGCCGCAAATGTGATCTTAGCGGATAGAGGGTACATCAATCTGCTCATCTGCAACGCCGGCATCAGTGGTCCGCAGACGCATCGATCATCTTCTGAGGACCAGATATCGGTCGAAGATTTTGCATGTGTCAACATGGACGTGCCAATTGAAGATTATACTAGAACCTTCGAGGCGAATGTTGTTGCGACCTGGTACACTACCATGGCCTTCCTGAGACTCCTAGACGCCGGCAACAGAAAGGGAAACGTGAGGCAGAAGTCTCAGGTAGTGGCCATCACGTCCATCGCAGCTTTCAACAAGGTGGGTTATCACGAGACTAGTCTCATGGAAGCACACGGATAATGACAAGAACGCAACAGGTTAACACAGCCGGGTTCGCTTACAGTCAGTCCAAGGCGGCATGCACGCATCTGATGAAGAATCTAGCTGTCGCGCTGCCAAGGTGGGAGATACGAGCAAACATGATATGCCCAGGACGTCAGTACATCGAACTTTCCTCCTCCTTCAACATTGTAGCTCACTTTGAATCTCCAAGTATACCCGAGCGAGATGTCCGGCCCCATCATAGACCGAGGAGGGGTTGGAAGGGACATGGTTCCACTTGAGAGGTTGGGAAATGAAGAGGATATGGCCGGAGCGGTGCTGTATCTTGCTTCAGGAGCTGGCGCCTACTGTAATGGGTCTATAATTATGACCGACGGGGGACGGCTAGGCAATTTCGCGTCTACATTCTGATGAGCAGACGTGCTTTTCATTTTCCAAGCTGCTCTTTTATCTTAAACATACCACAAGACCAGCATATATCGCCACATCTCCTCACTCGTGATACTTTTCCCCTCACTTGAACTTGTAGTATTCCTAGAGATGTTGAGATGGGCTCTACGTTTAAGCATAGAAATGGGACTATGATGCGGTTTTCTAAATGCTACAGCAGGCCTTAGAGCTGCCGCGGCACCGTCTTGAGTGACTTATGGCAGTGCTCCGAATAAACTCTCTCCACACGTACCTTAGTGTAGTCAATATAGAACATTAAATGATCCATTTGGCTGCGATGGACGTATGGAAATCTGGACGTTCACCTAACAACGCTTGGTCGGCTTCGCATTTACTCCGTCCCGTATCCATGGCCACCAGCATGTATTATGTGGTGTGACTATCATGTATAGGTTTAAGATTGATCACCAAGGTTGTCTCAGCTTTGGCCGATGTCGTGATTCAGGGGAACTTCGCCGGATACGGAATTGGGCAGCTAGTTTTCTTGTTTCTGGCGTTGCGCTCTGCGGGACGGAGATCCTCCGGCATATGCATTACAAACACGTAGAGCGCAGGAGATTACCTTGACTGCAAGAGTCATTGGCATAATACGCGTCGGCACGGAAGTACTCGTAGTGGCTGCATATGTGCTCAAGAAAGCATGTTCACGGGCCGTGACTTGGGGCAACACAGTGACCAAGAATTTCTGTCTTCCATTCTAGGCTTAAGGATGGCATTACAAGTATTATAAAATCGTGTATTGGGACTGTGCTCCAATCTCATGTCTACAGCTTCATACCACTCGCTCTCCGTGTTGCCCCGACATCTCGCGCCAAACCAACGCCGTCTCTCATCTGAATCCATTCATTTCCCATCAATTATCTCATCATGTACTACCAAGAGATGCTCAACGACTGGCTGAAGGACCATGTCCTTCAGGCTCCATACATGAAGGATGAGCCTGCCTTTTATCGCAACATCGAGAAGCATCTCGATACCCTCCGAGCTGACTTCAGACTCTCTACAGCAAAACCTCGCTGGGATGACACTGTTATTGATTGGGCGTCTAGCGACTTCCTCTCACTGAACCGTACCGGCCGGATTCGAGACGCCTATCTCAAAGAAATGGCGAAGCATGGCGAAGACTGGGACCTGAGTGCTGCAGGCTCTCGCCTTCAGTACGGAAACTACAGCTACTTGATCGAGGTCGAGAAGCAGGTTGCCGAGTTCTTTGGCTCCGAGACTGCCTTCATCGGTCACTCAGGCTTCTTGTGTAACGTTGGCATCATCGGCGCCGTTGCACTGCCTGGTGACTGTTACCTCTACGATGAACTGGTACACGCCTCGACCCACGAGGGCATGAAGCTCAGCCGGGCATCTCACAAGGTCTCCTTCGCCCACAACGACGTGCTCTCTCTGCGTACGAATTTGAAAATGCTCCGTGACGAACACCCAGATTTCAAAGCTGGTACCAAGTCAATCCTCATTCTTGTAGAATCTATCTACAGTATGAATGGAGATGTTTGCCCTCTGAAGGAGTTCGTTCAGGCAGCTAAAGAGATTTTCCCTCTCGGCAATGCACAGTTTGTCATAGACGAGGCACACTGCGTCGGCGTCCTTGGACCTAAAGGTCGGGGACTAGTCTCGATGCTCGGCTTGGAGAAGGAAATTGCAATCCGGGTCCATATGTGTAGCAAAGCTATGGCCTCGACTGGGGGCAAGTATTCAGCTGCCTCCCTCCCCCACCCCTGCCTTCCCGATCGCATGGGTGACTGCTTTCGTGCTGACCATATCTGGCCTGTAGGTTTGATCTTGTGCAACAAGACCATCCGTGCCGTGATCATGAATCAGATGCGGTTCGCCGTTTACAGTGGCGCCCCATCGTTCCCCATGGTCGCCTCCATCAGGGCCGGCATCGAATTGCTCTCTACCGGAGCGACGATCACTGTATGTATGACAGATGTCTACCTCAATTCTCACCACTCTCGCCTCTGGAAACTACGCATCATCACTGACAATACTTTCACGAGACAGGAGCAGCAGAGCATCCAAGATATCGTGACCTATTTTTTCGAGAAGCTAACCAACAATGTGGAGTGGCAACGAGCTAAAGCTGCGGGTCTCCTTTCATGTCCCCTCTCGGAAGGCTGGGAGCAGCGCGTCTGTCATACACATATCGTACCCATCTGGACAAAGCCGCGCCACGAGCAGTACCTGTTCTTCCACATGATGTCGGAAAACATGAATGCCTACAGCTTCGCATATCCGGTCGTCCCAAAGGGCAAAAGCCGCGTTCGCATGGTTTTCCATGCCCACAACACCAAGGCCGACGTCGACAAGACGGTCGGCACTATAGCCGAGTGGGTCAGGGAGATGCTCGATATTGAACAGGACGAGTCGGCAGAATATGTCCCCCGCATCGCTAGCGAGGTATACAGCATGAAGGCTGAGGTCAGGGGTTAATAGCGGCTGTGGTGAATTTGAGAAGTGTACTGGCTGGTCAATACTGCGCTTGGAGCAGGCGCCATTGCGAGCCCAGTCCCGACAGCATACCTTTACTATGAATTTAAGAGTTTGATATCCTGTGCGCCCTCGTGATTCTTATACCGAGGTTCTGCTTCAGGGAATCCCTCAGTGGGAACACCACTTGCACAGGTCCTTTGCCAGTATATTACGCCTACATGGCAGGGGCTTGGCTCACGGGCTGATGGTGGATTAGACCATGTGGGTCATATCTGTTGACATGCGAGCTTAACAGTCTGCTGCTAAGAGGAAGAAGAAAAAGGTCTGACTGCAGAAGGATAGCTTTCCCTAGAAGCTGACATTTCAATATCTCTCAATGATCCATTTTCGGCGCGCTTCCTCCGTCATTGAATCCATCATGTGCATCTCGCCATTTTTAACGTCCGTATATCTCTGTACAACCTCGCGTCCCAAGGACTCCTTCAGCACCTCATTGCTTTTGAGAGCATCAAGAGCCTCCCCTAAGTTCTTGGGAAACCTCCTCTTCACACCAAGATCTTGTCGCTGCTCATCCGTAAGTTTCGCTGGATCGACGGCACAGTCGAGCCAAATCAAGGGCTCCCCCTTGACCAAGCCATCTGTTCCGGCTGCAAGTATGCCTGCTACAGCGATGTAGGGGTTCGCCAGACCATCCAGAGTCTTCATCTCCCAGTGACTGTCTACACACTTTCGCAGTGGTGCCTCCTTGTTCTGTGTACCCCACGTTATCCAACAGCCACCAGCCCAAAAGCTATCTACCATACGCTCGTAGCTCGCAGGATTGGGATAGGCCAAAGCAATAAGAGCTGGGTAGTTTGTAAGGATACCTGCGTAGAAGCTTTCGTAGACCTTGGGCGCATTCCCGCCAGGGGAGCAGATCGATATTGTACATGCGAGGCAGAGCCACTACCTCCAGCAAAGGGCTTCGGATGCAGTGTCACGTGGAACCCATTCCGCATGGCCACGGCTTCGATAATGTGACGGGTCCGAAGCAGGGTATCACATGCTTCCAGAGGCGTCAGTGGCGGCAGGACGATTTCGTACTGTCCCGGCCCCGTTTCGGTGTGAAGCTGCTCGATCTCAATGCCTGCAGCTTGCAGGTTGTCGAGTAGCTCATCAATTTTGCTGTTAAAGCTTCCGTGTCGGCCACAGTCGGCGATTGCTCTAGCCAAAGACCATCCGTGAGCGACGTGGCGCAAAGCTTGTGGCTGATTCTCTCCGCAGGTCTCAAGTATCACGAATTCGAGCTCGAAGCCAAGCAGAAACGATAAACCGTGCATCTCTGCTGATGCGAGAGTATTTCGGAGAAGTGTTCGGGGGCAAAGATCAACGTCAGATCCGTCCTTGTGTTTGAAATCAAGAAATACTGATGCATGGCCCGGAACAGGACCTTGCCTCAGAGACAGCCAGTCTGGAAAAGCCTCATACATCCCGGTACCGGTGATCTCCGGAACCAAGGCGTCCGTTTGGAGCATTCCAAGGCTAGCCTTGGTGATCGGTAAACTGAAGGGCTCACCACACTCCAATAAGGCCAGCACCCGCTTCATGGGGACCAGGCGGCATCTTGCGGTCGATGTATAGTCATGCCAGCAGAGTCTGAGCCACTTGCTGTTAAACTTTCGCAGTTGTTGCAAAATAGGGGTGACCTTGGTAGACCCGTTGGTGCCACTACTCCCGTTGGATAATGACATTGTGTAAGGGATTTGATAGGAGTTTTCTTTTTTGGACAGTATATGGCAGACGAAATTTGTCAGTGGAGGTTGAGGGTGCTGTTCCAAATATGGGCCGTGAAAAAAGCCAACACCTCGACTGACTAGGGGTGGATATATGTATTTTCGGCCAATGCCGCGTTGAGTGTACAAATCATGTAACCGCTTCTCTCGATCAACTGCAATATCATTGTGTCCCCTATATCCACATTGTATTCTAGATTCAGGCCAGCGCTTTTTTGTGCCATTTGAGTGTCTCAGTGCTCTGCAATTAGTGACCCAGGTTTGTGGTCAAACACGAGCACAGGCGTCCGCGCCCTTTACTACTGAGACAGGACTGCTGCCAGAGCCTGTCGATAAGAGGAAGAATTAACGAATTTTGTCAGTAAATCGTGAATGAAAGCAGACGATAGGAAGGAAGTCAATCTCTCTCATAAGGGAAAGACGTAGGGCTTATAGAACCAATGGATTGGCAAAGAGAACATGAACTAGTATGCTACCTATCGACCGACCGATCTTCAAACGCCAATTCTTCCTTCATAATCATACGCCTCCTCGTTTATGATAGCATGCATAGTCTCGTTGTCTCTTAACGCTGTAATTCTAAAAAAGAAATGTATTGGTTCCCCTCTTCTCTCCCACTTGAAGTCCGGTGTCTGTCGTCTTAACACGTATCGCGTAGCGACATGATTGTGTTCCCCTTACACGAGTGCTCGTATGACGAGAGACTAAGCAGGCCGCCTTTTTTTTCGGCCTGGAGTCTCGGCTCATTTGTAGTGTCCTAGGTGGAGGTTCCGCTCGCTGTCGATGAGGTTGTTATGATCCAGTTGCTCGATTGATTTCATTTTTACATGTTGTTGCTTCTTGTCAGCGGCCACCGATACTCGGCCGGGAAATATTTCATCGTAGTATTTTCTAATAATCGGGCACTTCTCTCCGTGTTACTGGACTGACCAGGGACACCTTGACATTTAGCTCTTTAGAACCAGCACGCATACTCTTCGCAAGAAGCAAGACTATAGTGAAGCACACTATGAACGCACGCCGTCAATATTCCGCCGAGCTCGAGTTCGACGAGCTTCCCGATCCCAAGCGAGTGTGGGCTGGCACCCCAGGCAGCCGAGAGGAAGGCCTTGGTCGACTCGTCTTGCTGACAAGCGAGCGCACCCGCGACGCTGCCAAGGAGATTGTGACTGGTCAACGTGTTGGTCTCAATTGGGATCTGAGGAAGCTTGAGTATCCAGGCTACGGTCGAATCTCCTGCGGCCATCAGGTGGTGCCCATCTTGGATGGTGACGCCTTCGACGATGTGTACACCATCAACCCTCGTGAGTAAGTCATCGAATCTGACCGAGCTTTTCATTAACACCGGTCCCATTAGAGCAGAGCAGCCAGTGGGACGGTCTTCGTCATTGGGGAATATTGTCAGATCAAGAGCCCACGAGGCGAGAATGGTACGGCGGCACGACCAAGGCCGAGATCCTGGATCGCACCAGTGACCGTATTGGCATCCATCACTGGGCCCAAGAGGGTATCACCGGCCGCGCCGTACTCATCGACTATGCGTCGTGGGCAGACAAACAGGCCATCAGTTACTCTGCCTTTTCCCTCCACACTATCAAGCTTCAGGACATCATCGCCATCGCCGCGGAATCCAGTGTCACGTTCAAAAAGGGGGACATCTTGCTAGTACGAAGCGGAATGATCCGCGAGTGGGAGAAGATGGACGAAAAAGCCAGGAAGGCTTACCAGGCCCTTCAGTCACCGCATCATGCTGGTCTTGAGGCCACCACGGACGTTCTGCGGTGGGTCTGGGACACCGGAATAGCTGCAGTCGCTGGCGACGCCATCTCTTTCGAGGTCTTCCCGCCGCTCGGAGACATCAGCCTCCACGACTACTTCCTCGCTTCTTGGGGCATGCCAATTGGTACGTCCTTAGCCGCGGCCCCTATAGGTGTTTCTGCACTCAAAACCCCATACGAGCTGACCCTTCCGGGAACCAGGTGAGATGTTCGATTTGGAAAAGCTTGCCGAGGCATGCAAGCAGCTTGACAGGTGGACTTTTTTCTTCGCCTCGATGCCACTTAACATGCCCGGTGGTGTGTCTTCTCCGCCCAATGCGCAGGCCATTTTTTAGTCACTTATCACCCTGAGATTAGGATTGTTGGGACGCATGAGATGAGATACTAGGGAGCCAAATTGAAATTAATGATCATGATAACAAATGGTCCTAGAGCTCTCGCAGATATTAGCCATGTAGACCAGCTTAATCGACCAGGATGGTTCTGTTCCACGCTACTTCATACTGCAACTGTGGCTAGGGCCTCATAAGTTACTACTAATAAAATGGTTCCTCTGTTCGGCCTAGGTGAGTATTGTGTACATTCGGGAATATACAACCTGAGCATGGAATTATCCAATGCGCTATACGTAGGTAGCCACACCCTGTCGAAGATCCAAATACTCGATAGCGTATAGTCCAAGCTCGACAGGTGCTGGTGCAGCCCAAATCTCCATGTCTAGGGACTTGCGTTCCCCTCGCTGAATTTCTGTGCTCAGTACCACCAGATCACAATCGGTGACACCGATAGGTACACTTCGTCAGACCTTCACTTTGGGGGGGTGGCTGATTTTGCAGCCTTGCTCGTTTACGGCACAGTCCTTGAAATTTTCATTCTTCTCGTGCGGACACAACGACGTACAGGCTCTGAACGGAGAACAAGCTCAGCAGCCGCCTTGGTCATGATGTTCTAGCCGGTGGTAGCGATAGGAGACATGGATGCTACCTGGAGAATCTCCAACATCGGTTGGGCTTTACAAATTAACAGTACTGAAGCTCACCCGATTTGATCAACAAATATAGACGCCACGATGAACTCGTCGTGGTCGAGCAGACCGTCTCTCCCTCCCTCACTGTCTGCCGACGGCAATTTGTGCTACCTCTTAGGTTTTGCCGCGTACGTTGTGCTTCATCGGTCTCGTCGATCTCGACGGTGCTTGTCTACGGTTTGACACTGGTCTGGTATTCGTGTCGATACTGAGTTAGAGCGATATTTTAACCGTGTGAACTAAAGCCAGGGCTGTCTCGGAATGCTACGTGTTTGCTTGTTTGATCCCAGATCGGGTCCAAACGCATATTATAGCGCGTCCGCCCACGTCGAAATTAGAACGGCATCGTTTTCCCAAACTGGTTTGGATACTGCTACGACATTCTGCATTCTATCGGCGGTTGCCCTTCCCCGTAACACCACCTCCACGTATCCCCGCCCGGTCAACTGGCCAGCCATAAAACATCATCCAACAAGAATGATGTCGCAATGCTCCGGCGATGGACTGGCTTCCCGCCGGGCAGAATCATCTCCTCTGCTGGGAAACAGGGCCACTGATGGATCATGTACATCGTATAACCCTGCCGGCTATGACACCAACGAAGCCGTGACCTTCCAGCCGAGCGCTCCATTGCCAAAAAAGCAAGTTCTCTTGCTATGCTATGCACGTCTGATGGAGCCGCTCGCCTTCTTCTCCATCTTTCCTTACGTGGCCGAGATGGTCCAGCGTAACGGCAACCTTGCGGACTCTGATGTCGGTTTCTATAGCGGCCTCGTCGAGGCGGCCTTCTCAGCGGCGCAAGCTGTGACCCTGCTACTCTGGGGCACACTAGCCGATCGTTTCGGGCGCAGATCGATGCTCATGTACAGTCTCGCCGGCATGGCAACCGGCACGGCCCTATTCGGCACGGCTTCGGAATTATGGCATATGATACTCTTCCGAAGCCTCACGGGCCTATTCTCCGGCGCCAACCTCATCATACGCACCATGATTGGCGAGCTGTGCACGCCGGACTCGCAGGCCGCCTTCTTCAGCTGGTATGCTGTTGCCGGGAATCTGGGCATCTTCATCGGACCCATCATCGGCGGTGCTCTCGCGGATCCGGCCAACCAGTATCCCTCGGTCTTTGGGGACAGCGCGTTCCTGCAGCGCCATCCCTACGCCTTGTCTGGTTTCACCACGGCGGCCATGACCGGCACCGCCGTCCTGATCACCGCCGTCGCAATCCCAGAGACGCTGCCGGAACAGGCAGGCGGCAGTCTCTCCAGGGCATGTCAGATAGTGCAGCAGGACTCTCCGCAGCCCTCGATGCGGCAGATACTGCAAACGACGCAGGTGCAGGCCGTGCTGGGCGGCTACGCGTATGTCATGTTCATCGCCATTGCTTTCATGGCCATCCATCCCGTCGCGCTGTACACGCCCGTCCACCATGGAGGGCTCGGGCTCTCGACGGCCCAGATCACGATCTTCATCGCGGCTGTCAGCGCCAGCGAGACTGTGTGGCTCATGATTGCATTCCCCGTGCTGCAGCGCCGAGTCGGTACGAAACGCGTCCTGGTCGTCTGCTCGTGGCTGTGGCCGCTCTTCTTCGCTGGGTATACGGTCACCAGTGCGCTCGAGCGAGAGGGTCAAACCATCGCTGCCGTGGTTGTGGCCGTGTTCAACATTGTCGTTGGGCCGGGGGCGTTCATGGCCTTCACCGCCGTCCAGCTGGCCGTCAACGAGGCGAGCCCGAGCCCCGGCGTCCTGGGGAAGCTGAACTCGTCGATCGAGATCCTGTCCAGCATTATCAGGAGCGTTGTTCCAGGCATAGCCACGGCCGTCTTCGCAGTCGGGGCGCGAGGGAACATTTTAGGCGGCTATCTAGCTTGGGTGGTCCTCATCGTGTCCACGATGGGTCTCCCATTAATCCTGAAGCGATTCCCGGATGATCACGTTCGTTGTTGACCAGGGACTCGAGCAATTGCGGCTGCTACACCAGAATTGGATCATCCCAGGACAGGGAAACGCCTTTGAGCCTACCGATTTGATTTCAAGAGAGGTGTGGGCTTTGGCAGCCGCTTCACGGCTCTGTATTGTATCCTATGTATCATGCCCAGTTCGCTTCTGAAGCGGTATTTAAAATCTGCGACTAAACAAATTGCACTGGGAATCAAAATCATGTCAACATATCTATTAAACCTTGTCATGCCGGGCAAATAAATTGCGAGCCCCATTGTGCAACTTTTGGAACGAGAACATGCTGAATCTGGAGGCGTCCTGCTCACACAGTTGGCGTCGTGAACCTCACACACCCGACGACCTCTCTTCAAGAGCCCAGAGCCCAACCCTCTGACTCGTAAGGAATCGCCAGCACACAAGAGAATACTCATGGCTCAGCAGACCATGCTGAAATCGAAGGCAGCAGGTGACTGACCGACACTTCTCCCGAATGACGTTCATCACAACTCACCTCTTCCTCGCGACGAATAAGCAAGCGCCACACGACACACGCCCACCAGGCCAGGGTTCGCAGCAGCCCGTGACGTCCTCCCAAGATAGCAGCATAGCACACGCCGACAGTCCTTTCTTCTTTTCATCCCCAACGACCGGGACGCAAGGTACGAGACACACCGGGCCAAGCATCAGCCGAGAGAGACGTGGCGCCAGGTACCATCACATCCTCCCTCTTCGGTTCTCACGAGGCGAGAAAAGAACTCGCGGTCAAGCTCTCTCCCCTGCCCCGACCCTCCCAGTAACTCAAATCAAGGATCCCGACATGTTGAGAGATAGCGAGGGTTTTTTCCCCTTCCGTCATTCTCATCACATCACCACACAATCCAAATGCGTGCAGTGTGGCGCTTCTTTTCTCGCCGGAGACGCCCGCCAACACGAGCGCCACAACGAGACATTGCCTGCTGCGCGAGGACGGCCTTCCTGTCGCGAAAAGCCCGCGCCCAGACCGAGAGAAATGCCGTTGTGCATCAACTTCTCGGGGGCCGAGGCTGATAGCGTCGCATTCAACGATTGCGAACCAAATACTTTGGGGGGGGGAGCGGCACCACATCGGGCAATGCCGCACGTTTGCGAAATGCCGCCGTCCCTTTCGTTGAGCGATGCCAAGATATCATCTCATTCAGTGTCCCAAGTGAAATGCGCCGGATCGACCGCTCAATCGCCACGGAAAGTTTACGTTGCGCTGCGTTCAGCCTCGTCTCCTCATGCACTGTGACCAAAGGCCGATCCGAGCGATGTGAACCTCGCTACCTCCCCCCCGGTCGCGATCTTCGCTGAATGGGAAAGCCAATTCCGGGGACGAGCTACCGCCCAGGGGCGAAACAAGCCGTGCTTCTCCAAGAGATTGAAATATGGTGCTTCTCCAAGAGATTGAAATATGGTGCTTCTCCAAGAGATTGAAATCATGGACATCACCTGGTGATAACTGACCAAGATTCAGAGTTCGAGCGGACTACCGCTTCAGCGCCATGGGCCAATGGGCCGTGGCCGTGCACGCCGCGGCACGGGAGGAAGGGAGGAAGGGAGGGCGGGCTACGGGATCACAAGCAGCACCATCGGATGACCCTGCTGTGGACTCGGTATTGCATGGAGTCAGACGGTGATGGGCATCTCTGGTCATACTTTTTTCTGGCCCTAGCCCGATCCCACGGCCATGTCTCAAGGCTCACCACTTTGCTTTCTCACGTGGGAAAAAAAACCCGAGCATCTGTGATGACTCCAACATGTCGAGTGCAAAGCTCTTCGGGACCACACCTCCACCACGACCCAGCTAATGCAAGGTACCTCGCCAAAAGTGCCTCAGCGCTGCCTATTGTCCATGTTCTCGAACCAAGCACCTGCGCAGGTACCTGGCGAACGTGTGTGCGTGGGCGTGTGAGTGGGCTCTACACCAACTCTGGCGCAAGGCTTATTCTTTTCTTGGTTGGCGAATAGCAACCCACCCTCTCTCTTTTCTTGCCCAGACACGCTGTGCGGTGCACCGCGCAACGAAGGGCATGCGTAGAAAGCAACCCCAACAAAAAAGAACCCTGGTTTGCGCTCAACAGTGGCCGAGGCGAGGCGATTGCGATTGAAGACTTTTTCGACGGCCGTGGTGGTTGTGAGGGGTACATGTATGCGTGTGCGATGCGTGCAGGGTCTTTGCCGTCCGTAGTGGGCTGGCCTAAAACTGCTGCAGATAGGTTTCCAAGGAGCAGCTGGAAGAGGCGGCAAGGCTTGTGATGACTCTGAAGGCCAGACCAGCCTATGCTCAAGGCAAATGCAAAGGCAAAGACAAAAACGCATACCAAGAGTACTGAAATGGGAAGTTGTCATGACCCGGACATCGCCAATCGAGGCTGCTTCGCCGGCTCCTTTGGATGCGGCACGGTCGAACGTTGCTGAGCAGCCCTGGTCGAGTCGCCCATCCTTCAGGATTTCCTCGACGTCGAATTGACGTACTCAGCCATCGGTCCGTCGTACTGAAAGGCATTGTGCCGTTGAGGCACACAGCACCAGGCATGGCGACCTGGTTAATCCTTGTAACAAGCTCTTTCGCAGGCCACCGGTCTCGACCGCTGCCTTTGAAGGTTCGAGTCCGCGTTGAGCACTCGCTCAATGTGACCATGAGCATCCTCTGTGTCCAGAAAGGCACACGTCGCCCTGAGGAAAAGGTAACGCTGAACACAGCAAGTGACCGGCTGTGTCATCGCCAATCAGAGACATGTGCAGGGCACCAGTTGGCACGACACTATCGCAATCTCTCCATCACCACCTGGCCTGTCGGATCGACTCGACTCGACGGAAGCAGGGCGCGACGCGGCGTGTCTGTGTGAGGCGAGCCATCAGTAATTGCCGAAGAATCATCGAGCCCGTGAAACTGGCCTTGCAAGTTCAAGCGAGACAGCCTCTTCCTCTATCCCGTTCTCTTGAGCCCCGCTCTTTTGTGTTCTGTGAGACGTGGCACGGCGGTTGAAGCCTCCCGCCAGTTGCACGCCATGTAGCTGACAACGGAACAGCCAGAAAGAGGCACTGGTGAGGTACATGTACGATACTGACAGAATGCACGTCTATTGGTGTGACAGCGAGGCTCCAACGTGTTGACCGGCCCTTGGCCCCTTGCCAGCGAGCTTTTTTGATGCACCTCGGATCAACTCTGCAGCTTGACCGGTGAGGTTCCTCGGTTGCGACGGAGCTGTACCAAGTTACCGCAGCTTGTCATTCTTCATGTGTGACTGGAAGAGGCACGATTCATCTGGCTTATTGCGAATGCTGTGCTAGGCAGCCCTCCTTGAAGCGGCGCAGGCATCGCCCTGATGTCTCAGTATACCAGAAGTGTGAGGCACAACCCGTTGGGCACTCGTCCTGCGTCAAGAGGTAACGAAGACTGCTTCACGCGATAATGATGCCGGGGGGGACTGAAAACAGTCATCGTCGATGCTAACAGGAACAGGTAGCGATCAACACGTGGTGACCTCATGGCAGGCCAATTGAGTTGGGGTGGACAGGGTATTCTTCCCAGCGGGACCCATGTTCGTGGGTACCTTGGTCTACCAACAGGTCTTTCCCAAAGGGCGTAATCAGCCAGAAAGGCCCAGTTTTCAGCCTGAGTCAGTTGCGCTTGAACTGCCCACGTTAGGTGTCTGCGGACGGAGGAGGCCATGGGGTCTGTCCCTAATGCCATGTGGGCAGCGGACGGCGGACGGCGAACAATCGCCCTCGTGATGAGGGGTTCAGGGCCTAGAAGAGCATGAAGGCCGGAGACTGGCGGAGTTGGTAGTTGCAACGGAGAGACGTCTTTTCGTCCTTGGCCAGACCCAGCAGCAGGAGGGGGTGAGGGGCGGGGCGGACGTCCGACGCAGTGAGATAACTTCGCAAGAGGGCCAGTTGTGTGTGGCTCGTCCCCATAACGTGGAGTCGCGGATGAGCAGCAGGTGAGCGGCATATGTAGGGCAAGATCAGACGAGGGTTTTCCACGGCTGTTCTATTCCGGCTCGGAGGCGCGGAGTTGTGAGTACTCGCTGATCAAATCAGTACCCGTGTGGGTGTGGGCGATTGGGGTCATGAACGATTCGGAAGGAGAGAACAAGTCGTGTTGTTGACATGCGCCGTTGATGACGCAGCTAACCCAGTCGATAGGTTCCTTTGATTTAACGGTAGTGGTTGGTGGTAACGCATTGGCCGTCGCCCTGATGCGGCCTGGCACTGTTGACATGTTTTGACAGGTTGCGGTGCATGATTTGACATGTTTTGACAGCCTGTCTAATGAAAACAACCCGCGGCTGCAACGTTCGGTGGGAGAACTGAAGTGCTGTACCAGAGTACCACCACTCCTGCGTCCTTAACACCGAAGTCTGCATGTGAACTTCGGATCACCTCACCGGAGCTCGGGCTCTAGTCTTGCTGTACGAGGGTTTCTCGATGGGAGGGCTCAAATCCCTATTTCCACCGTCGATTAAGCCCTCGTGGACCTTCGGTGCCATGCGTGTCGGGGTATTGTGGTGTCTTCCCCTCCCGTCCATCGTGAGCCATACTGTATCGGGCACCTGTCACACCCAAGCGAGCGACTGGGCATCGACCAGACCAGCATCGTGGTGCAGCCATGCATGTACTGGAACGGGACTTGGACTGGCGAAGAATGCGCCCATTCGGTTGCGGCAAGAGGGGATGTGAAAGACCCTGACCACAATGGCGGCATTCTGAAAGTCTGACGCCACAGTGTCGGCGCGAAATGACACGCTTTCCCGCTTGCTATAGTGTCGCGACGATTCCGCTACGGGCGGATGAAGTGTCATGGACCTTGACCGTTGCCGGCTCATTCAACGTCAGGAATCATGACCGGAAAGTGTCCATGGCTGTTGAGGCAGCTTCTACCAACTATCAGGCTCCGCTGGCGAACTATCATGCTACAGCTTTCGGAACGTGCCCGTCTGGGGGAAATATGTCGCCATTCATCGTGTCACAGTGACGATTACTAACAGTGATGGCGACGGTGACTGTGACGTTGACTCTGTGGAGGCATAGAAACGGAGCACCGCCAGACGAAAAGTGGCAATCGGAGAGAGCCACTCTGAGCCGCTTGTCCATGCTGGGAAGAGGCCTCGTCGAGAGTCCAGGCCTTGCGATCATCGGCGTTGACTGGGGTGAAATGTGGGAGACGTGGCCAGGATGAGGATTGGCCATCTTGGAAGCTCTGATCCCTGTGCTGGTGATGTGGATCTTGTCGGCTCACCTGAGAGACGCATGGGTCAATTGCCGGCTGGGAGCAGGCGTCAGTGAGCATGTACTGTAGGCTTTGAGCTGACCGACCACCCTTCGTCAAGCTGCACGCACGCGCGCGCTGGTCCAGCGTTGGAAGGTTGGCCTCGCTTGCTTCCAAGCACTAAACAAATGGGAGGGACTGAGGTGCCGACAGTGTCTCATAGCCACACCGTCATGGTGAATAGCCAGGGACTATCCAAGTCACCGCCCTGTCAGCCGTTGCAGAGAATAGGCTGGCTGCCAGGCTAGCCACCAGACGCGGACGCTGACTCCCTTCGTCGCTTGGGGCCCCTAGGAGCGTGGAAGGTCAGAGAACAAATTTGGGCCAAACGCCGAGTGCGAGCCGTGCCCACTGTCTTTGGGCGTGGAGCCACGGCGCCCAATCGTAAGAGTCCCAGCACCGGCAGAGACCTCAATCGAAGCGCGACGCCGGCGCAGTCGGGCAATGCTGTCAGTGGCTGGGCGGCCAGACAGGGCCGAGGAACGAAGCAGGGGGACGACCCAGGTTTGGCCGAGGACCCAAGCAGACCGACGCGGACCACGGCGGGTGGATCCCGAGGGCTCGTGAAGCTCCTCTACCCTAGCAAAAGTTTTTTTCCCTTCCCTGGTATCCTGGTATCCTCAAAGGTTGGGCTGCCTGGGCAAGGACAAAAGTGCGAGGCCAAGACAGGGGAGGGTGGTCGATCGAGCCCGGGACGATGGGAAGAGCACAGCCGCTGTAACGGTCTGGGTCAGTGTGCCCCGTTTGTCTGTACACAACTCACTCTCCGTCGATTCGGGGCAAGAAGGCTGGGCCATCCTCCCTCAAAAGTATGGGATCTCGTGTCGTGAGTTGAGTAGGTGTGGGGTGGGGGATTTTGCGATGCAGAAGAGGGCGTCTGGGCGAAAAGCGATGAAACTGGCGGCTTTTCGCAGCTGAAAGAGCTGCTGAATCATTAGCAGAAGACCCGATTAACACGGTATCGATGGCTGCGTTACCAAAAGCATTGTAGTGAAAGAGACAACAAGTACAGTAGCAGGGCTGGTAGACAGAGAGGCATGTGTCTCATCTCACTATGTCTTGTCGCCCACCGCTTGGTTGGTATCTCTCCCCATGTCGCAGTCGGTCGAGAGGCCCCCCGCCCAGCGCTGAGCTCGAACCCCCCCAGTCGCATCCAACAACGTTCCCGTCAGTGGTGAGGTGACAAGCTGGGGTCCGCCATCCCAGGACGACTGGGAATGGAACTTCACTATGCGGGCCTTGTCGTGGCCTTCCAGCCTCTGGTCTGGCGACGTGACAGTCGGTGTACAAGTACCATGGCAAAGTACGACGTAGTGACTTGATCACACCTACTCATCGTCAGCCATCGACTGCCTGCGCCAAACAGTGAATCCCGCAGGCACAAACTCCGTGTCTCACCAGAGAAAGCCTGTCCCTTTCCCATCCGCCAACATCGTTTGATCGCCACCGTTCTTCAGCGGGCTTCCAGAGTCAGTTGCCGTGCGACAAGCGACTTTCGAACACCCGAGGACTCACTTGGTGTCCAACTCCCGGCTTTTGCTGAAGGGCCTAAAAAGAGCCTTGGACCGCAAAACTCTTTAGCGCACCGCAAGGGCTCTGAGCACTAGGGCAGAATTTGGAGACGACGCCGTGGGGCCAGCTCGTGCACTAAACCCTTCTCGCCCAAGAGCACTGGGTCGAGCTTAACCGCAGGAACCCTTGCTCCTTTTGGGCACCTAACCTGGACAGATAGGTATCCAGTACCTCCAGGCTCGCAGGCCTCTTTGGCTTGCAACGCCCTGTTTGCTGGTCTCCGGACTTGTTTAACTTCGTACCAGGATACATCCGATAAGTATCGAGGTACCGCTCTTGCCCACCTGCCCTCCTTGCCCTTGCCTCCATTCCGTCATCCACCAAAAAGGGCAGTGACAAGCCACACACAAGCCCCCCGGCGGCCCCAGAACCTGGGAAAGACCAGCCCAGTCTGTCAGTCGGTGCCCACTGCCCAATACTCAGGGCCTGAACCCAGCACCCTCAGGCAGGGAAAGAAACATCCAGGTCGCTCCCGCTTCTTGTTTCTCGCCCGCCCACCAACCAGCGCCCCCCAAAACATCCCAACCGGATCCTCCCCAGACCACAACATCCAGATCCCATATCCCCATCCTCCCACCTCACCTCGACCCGGACCTCTCTCTTGCAGCTCTATCATCGACTCTCCTCCACCAGCACTCGGATCCTTTCCCTGCGATTTGCTGTTCGACGGCTTCTGCGACATTGTCTGGACATCGATCACTGAGCACCACTCATTGATCGTCACCTGCTGTCCTACCCGACCCAAGTTCCCGCTTGCTGCAGACTCTCCAACGAACAGCACTGCACCACCACACCCACGTAGCCACTTGAACAACACACATCTGCTGCCCCAGATCCCCACGCCCAACAGCCAATATTACGACCCGATTCTTCAAGCACACAGATTGCTCGTCAGAGGTACAACAGCACAGCGCATATCCCACCCCAACCATTCTTCGGCGACGACCCCGCGCAAGCGAACCATCAACCACCACCGCTCCATTCTCTGAGACGATCGTTGTCCGCAACGCCTCGTAACAGGTTCGCATGAGTCAAGCTCGACAGAGAACCCCTAGGAACGCGAGGGCACGAGGGAGCGGAGGCAGATATCCTGCTTGGTCCATTTCGACCTAGACCACCTACCTACCCTAACGCTGCTGTCAACTATCTGAGGTCACGCGAACCAAACAACCAAACGAACGGGTTGCTCAACCGGGCCTCCCCCCCTCCCCCAAAGACACTTTCATCCCGCGCCGTCGGCACCCAGCCTGTCAAGCCGGGACACCTTGCAGTACATCATCCCGCTGCCCAACAGTCTCTCGTCTACCTTGGCCTACATCTACCCCACTGCCGCCAACGCCTCGCCTGGTCGACACAGTCACCATCAACAAATCTCTCTGTTGATACTCTCCTCTGGGACGCACCTAAGACTCCACAACCCCAACTATTCGCCATGTCTCCCAAGCTGAAGCCGCTGTTATTGCCCCAGCTTGTCGAGGAGCGCAAGAAGATGGAGGTTCAGTCTTATGACGCCGAAACCGATCGTCACTTTGCTTACTACACCCACAATTCGTCCTCCTCGGACGTCACCTCCCCCCTCACGCCAACCTTCTCGGCCCGCGGTCATATGCGATACTCGAGCTCAACCTCCTCTCTCGAGCTTCCCCCAATGTTGTGCGCCGACAGCCCCGTCTCGCCAACCTTGTCCTCGGCCGCCTCGACCTCGGGGCCTCCGTCTCACAAGGCCGCCAAACGCCAGCTCCCAGACGTGCAAGAAGAGCCAATGGAGCGCGAGGACGAAGACACAATCGTGTCCGACCAGTTCGACCTGTATAACTGCTTGTGTAAGGATGATTCGCCCTCCCAATCAGGAAGAGTTCCCCAAACTAACCGCCACTGCGCATCTAGGTGATGAGCCTTGTGTTCACAATGACAGCACAGACATGATCATGAGCGCATACCCGTCAGAGTACGATGAACTCGACTACGACTACGCCTTTATGAGCGATTCAGACTACCAGAGAGTTCCCAGGAAGCAGCAGAGGGGTGATTTGTCGGGCCTGGCCTCCCGCTTCGGGACCAGGTTCCCCAGTCTGTCTCGCTGGGCATCAACGAGGCGCTCGCAGCCTACCACAACCACAGCGTCACCCACAACTGAGACTGGGTTCGAGAACGTCTTCAGCACCCTCTCTCGGCGAGATTCGAGCCGTTCTTCGTCTCTGTCCACCCCTTCGCGTCACATGTCAAACGGAGGGAACGACCCGACATTCCCACCCACCCCTGCTCGCTCTTTCTGGGACAGCAGCGAGAGCGTTGCTCTTTCGGCCATCGATGTCGAAAAGGCCAACAACAGGCGCCCCAGCATTGAGCGGGAGCGTGCCCTGGCTACCACGCCACTGCTGCCGCCTCTGCTCACTGCCTTCCCTATCGAACACCCCCAGCAATCGCCGCTGCAGTCCCCCTCTGTGGCGCCGTCTCGCGCAACATCGCGCGCACCGTCTCGGGCTCCGTCTGTCGTGGGCACTGACATGCCCTCGCCGTTGCCCTACTCTCACGCACCCACTCCCAGCTTGAGCGCCAAGCCCTCTTACTCGTCTTTCCGACCCTCGCAGGATCAACCAACGCAGTCACACCCCAGCGCCATACCTGGCTTTGTTCAAGACCACGATGATTGGTCTGATCGCCTGGGCCACGCAAACTTTACCATCACGCCTCAACCATACCGCCCTGAGGACGCTTCACAGGAAACCCTGCATCGCCTCCGTGCTGATTGGGACGCCGCACGCGTCAATTACACGAAGCACATTGTTCGCACAGGCGAAAACTATGGCCAGACTTCCAAAATCTACGCTCTTACCGAGGCCAAATGGGCCGAGATTGATCGTGAATGGCGCGATGCCCACGAACGCACTCTGCGACAGGTGCCTTCCAAGACTGAGGATCCGCTTCCTAACTTTGTCTCCGTTCGAAACGCCACTCAGAGCTCCTCTCGAAGCAGAAGCAGGGGTCGTGGCCGTGGGCGCGCCGGCAGCGCGCATGCCGCCCCGGCCCCTATGGCCATGATTCCCCGTCTTGCTGATGCCGAGGGCAAGTTCCCCTCGCGCGGCGACGAGGACATTGTCGGCCCCATGGTCCGTGATGCTACATGGTACGCGGCCGTGAGCGAGGACTGCAAGGGTCGTTTCTGGCGACAGCTCGCTGACAGAGTGGGCCTGCGGCGTTGAGCGATATGGCCTTTTCGTAATCATGACGACTTGACGTATTACCACACAACTGCCGCCTTTCTTCTTCTTCTTCACGAGGTCGTTCTCCAATTTTCAATCACGAACTTAGATACCCAACCACGTCACTCCTTTGACCACTAGCGAGCCATGCGAGTTTTCGACCTCGTCGCGAGCAGTTTGCCTTTTCAGGCCTCGAAAGTTTTCCCTTGTTCTTTTTTGCCGTTCTCTTTATCCCTTGTCAACCACCTGTCTCATGATCAGATGCGATGTTTGACGTTTTCTTTTGTCACGCTAGACGAGCTATTTGCTCTTATTTCTACATCAGGCGATGTGTATATATGGTGTGTTGTGAGCCGTTTACATACTGGATGGGGCTTTGGAAACGAAAAGGCACGAACGCTACTAGACATGTATTGGATTCACTTTTCGGGAGACACGTATCAGGAGCACAGGACTGATATACCCAGCTGGGTTGAGATGCTTGCTACAGGCGAGGTGGAGAGGGGACGAATACCATGCCGCGATCTTCAGGATTGACGGCCTCCGGCTTCGAGAGAAGTGACGAGGAGATCAATTGAAATGTTCAATAGTCCGTTCTTCTTCCTGCTTGTGAACGCTATGTCGCCGGCGCCGAAGGGCGAACCATCATGTTTGGCAAAACATCACCTTACGCAGGGAGGTCTCCTTGTTTGCCTCACATGCTAGGAGGTCGGCCAGCAGACGCCACTCACGCCACATGCGATTGCTTGTACTCACCACCTCCACGTTCTGGAGTCAAAGTAGCCTAGGCCATGCATGACTTTACCATGTGATGCAGGGCGGGCGGCGCGCAGCCGTCGACGTAGTTGGAAGAGCGGCCTAGCAGGTTCTTCCTGAGACAGGAAGGGGTCTTTCTATGCCCCCCTCCCTGGCTTGGCTAGAATGGTTCGCAAACAAGACGGGGGCGGGGGCACCATGGAAACTCGCGGTCGCCACGTGGACTTGCTTCTTTCCGCCGTCCTTCCCTCTCTTTCTCTCGTTACTCCACACTCTCTGATCCAGCCCTTTTCCTCTTTCGCCGGCGCAGCGGCCGGCCGTAGCGTGTATGTCTCACGGCAAGTCCCAGCAGAAGAGGGGGACCAAAAAGAAGGACAAGTAGTAGCGGCAGGCTTGTTCGGGTTTTTGAGTCAAGACGTCAGGCGCCATGTCTTGCGCTAGGCGTTTGCCGTGGCGTCGGACAAGGGGATTGTTCGACCTCGTTAGCGCGACGCGCCGGTCTTGGGGACGAAGGCGCGGACGGGTTGAGGCGATGCGCTGCTTGGCTTGATAGCGGGAGGAGGAGTTCGGTGTCGCGTGCGGCGGAGAGGGGGAGGAGTATGGGGGAGGGGGCAAAAGGGGCGGTGTCACCGCGCGCGCCGGCTCGGTTGCTAACGGGGTGAGAACTGCATCTCGGAGGAAGACTTCTAGCGTCCTTCTCCTGATTTCCGTGGTGGTTGACCGAGGTCTTTTAGTCCTAGGGTCGCAAATTGACTGCTTGCGTGAGTTGTGATGCGGTGGCGTGTTTGGGGTTCGGGCGATCCGACTAGAGACATGTGTTTTCATTCAGCGTCTTTCAGTGTCTTTGCCGCCTTGCTGTTAGCTGGAGGAGAGTGGCCACCATGACCTGGTGGCGGCTGTCATGTGCATTTGCCGTTGGCCGGCGAGCTTTGCTTGTGACAGGTTGATTGCTCGACGCAAGTTGCCGTGTGCTGAAACTACCGAAAGAGCGGCGATCAGCAATCACCTGTCAGCTCTCTTCGACTTTCCGGGACGGTTGGATATGTCTGAGGCGGCGTGTGGAACTGTAGCTAGCCCTTTGGAATTTGTTGCCAATTGCGAGCGATAGAACGCCTCGTGGAACGGAAACAAGATCATCGGAACATCGGAACAAGCACAAAGGCGTGAGTGGAGGAGTCCGTGAAGGCTGCCTTGTTCCAGATTGTCATCGAGAAGTCTCCCGCCTCGCAGTCGACATCCCGGTTCTTGTATGACTATGTATGTATGACGCGACAGGCAATCAGGCTCCGAGGTGTTGACAGGACGTTAATAGGTAAAGCTTCCCAAAGCCTTATAATATTAGTTTGACTTGGTGGGGGACATCCCGCATACCTACCGACTTGCTGGCCATGCGTTTCTGGAACTGGCTTGTAAGTCAAACATCGACGTGTCAAGTGATAGGGTGCTACAAGGAACTTCACGACCCCGGGTCTGAGACTATGCAAGGTGTTGATGTGTCATCACGGTGATCATTGCGAATACGTTACTGGCTCCGTCGTAGTCTAAATTAAATTGTAGTTCATGGAAACCCAAGATGGCAACTCTATCTGCCAATAAAAAGGTCTGTTTGTTTGTATGAGCACGTCACCAACAGAGCTAGCCCTCACAAGATCTCGGAATCGCCCGTCTACAATGCTAGTTGAGCTTTTCGTAGCTCCATTCCTTGGGTACAACGGGAACGAGTGGTGTGTCTGATAGTCATGACAAGCGTGCAACTTTCCAATCTTTTCTGCTCGGGATTATCACTCAAAAAGTCGAGACTGCTGCATCATCAAACTCAGCCCGGATGTGGCTTTTAATGAAGCTGCGGTCACACGATCTCATTCGCACGGCCTGCGTAGCACCTCATGCTGCTAGCTGTCTTCCATTACCTGCAATCAATGTCCGTCAAAACGGACAATGGCATAGTTCAAGCGGAAACCGCTCTCAAGAAGCTAGTGCAAGGCAAAAAAAGACAAAAGAAATTTTCAATGAGGGACACCCGATTTGAACGGATAACCTTTGGGTTGCGACGAGCTCTGAAGCGAGACACATAGCTGGAATCCAACGCGCTGCCGTTGCGCCAGCCCCCCTGTGATGAACGGCTTGGCTCCTGTGGCGGCACAATGTCCTTCGGAGAGAGAGCGGGGTGAGGCACTTTCGGCTAAAGGTGCGTAGGTTGCGATGCCCTGAATGTGGGATTGTGGAGTTGACAAGAAGGATGTTGCTCATGTGGATCGGGTGGATGCGCGCGCAGACTGGGGTAAGGATAAAAGTGTAGGTATATTAGTCGGATGAGCTACACTGCCAAACAAGCGACGCTGGCTACGCTTCAAACCGGCAGCAGGCTGAGTCTTCTCCGAGACTGAAACTCAACAATCCAAACGCACCCTCTCGTCATGATGCGAGAGGAAGACGGGTCGGTCGCCGCATAGCCACAGACCACTGCTCACGCAGCCCTTCCAGGTCATCCAGCAGCTCCATCCACATGTGTCCCTCGCCGTGCCCCCTTTCCTTAAGCTCCTTTGCACGAAGACACATGACAATCGCCTCAAAGTCCCTCCGAATGCGCATCCTCGACCACCACATGTCAAATCGCCCGACGAGCCCCAGCCAGTACCCAAACACCCACAGCGCCCGCTCGTCGCCCGCGAGCAGCAGGTCGCGGAACGCCGGTTCTACGCGCCCGACAAACTGCATGTACTGATAGACATTCTCCGGTCGGGGCGCCACCAGCCTCGTCGCCGCGAGGATGTAAACTGGTTCCGCGAACAGGTCAACCCGGCGCGCGGTACTGGCCAGAAAAGCAGACCACGCGGGTGGCAGGTCGACGACGAGATCGGGACGCGTGAAAGTGCCCTCTTCGTCATCGGCCGATGCATACATAGGTGTCATGAGGCTGCCGCGGCGGAAGGCGGCCGTGATAATGAGCAGGGGCTTGAAGCCTAGGAGGATGTTCATCCAGCCAAGGCGATCCGGGGCGGTGCTGAAGACCCACGAGACGAGGGGGTTCTCATCCGGGACGGCAGTGAATGCTAGAAGATTGAGGAAGATGGCTGTCATCTGGAGGGCGTCTGCGCGGTCTCGGGAGAGGGGCTTTGCGAGGGATGCCCGCAACGACTGGATCGTGAGGGTTTGCTGGTACATCTCTGCTATCTGGTGGGCGGCGGGGTTGGTAGTGTGATGTCTGAGATAGCATGCTGATGCGCCGAGGATGGCTGTCAGGAGGTGGGGGTATGTACAGGCCATGTCCCAGACTGCATGGAGAGGGGCACCGGCGAGCATGTTGTCGTGGTTCTCGTTGAAGAACTGGAGAAGCACGCCGGCTGGGGTGCCTCCATACTTGGTCGCTGCGTCTACCGGAACCGGGAGCTCAAAGGCGGGCTGGGCCACCAAGGCCGTTGAGGACGAGGATGTGCTCGACTGCGGGCTCTGTCCCGCTACCGGGCTGCATCGTGGACGGCGGGAGGACGTTAGGGGCGTCTTGTCGTACAGACAGGTCCGCTGGTTTCTGTGACAGCGCAGACATGTAGGCTGAGTCTCATCGCACTGTGAAATTTGAGCGACTGTTGTCGTGTTCCGGCTCGGCGGACGCTTACTTTGACTCTCCTCTGTTTACAAGAGACACAGCCGGCTCGGGTCTTGGGTGAAAACTTTCGTTTCTTGTGTTCGCGAATCGTCAGCCCGGCCTCATCGAGTGACATGACTTGAAATTTGGGCGCCATTGTGTGATGGATTGGCCCATGACGCTATCGAAGGGATGGCGATTAAACAGGTAAACGAGCGGGGGGGAAACATGCAGGCCTGTGAATTCGACACATTCCCAAAGATGCAATGCGAGCTTGACATGAGTGAGTTCCTCTAGTCGTGTCGGGCTGGGGCGATCGACACTGCAACCCCTCGTTTACCTGTTTAGGCAAGGTGGTCTTACGCCCTTGTGCGTGCATTCAGCCCCAGGCTGCCATCTGGGCTTCCTCAAAACAGTCCACCATAAAAGAGTGTAGGCATTGCATCAAGATGTTACAGCTTGGTGGACGCTGTCTTGCCCAGACCCGTAGCCCGTGAAGCGAAGCGACCTGTACTAGCAGTCCGTCTGCCTTACGCCCTAGCATGGAAGCCAGCAGACCTGTGATTCAGGAGGAGGAGGACACCTGCGTTTGGGAGACCAGCTCGGTGGATCTGATCAACGTGTCGGGAGGCATCGCCCATCAGGATGCTACGATGGACCGCGCATTGGATGTCGGTGGCGGTACACAAGTCATTCTCAATCTTTCGTTCATACCCTTGGCTCTCCATCTTGTGAGCCAGCCAGGGACGCCAGGTGCGTCGCTCGGATGGCCAGCGGCGGCAACGACCAGGAGGAACGTCGGTAGCTGATTCTGTAAGTCTACCGACAGAGCTTCCATCTACGGAGAGCTAACACAACAGGCCGAAAGTCTCCACGGAGAGCGGCGAGCCAGGATATTCGGCGCTCGTTGCCCGTTGTATGACCGTTGAGTCAATGGCTCCGGGATCAGCAATAGCCAGCAGAGACTCAGAAGGGTCTGTAAGGCTAGGCGAGGCCGGATAGGAAACTCGATGGACTCGGAACACATCACAACTCATCACCCACCATGTTGGGCATTGACCTCGAGAGAAAATAGAATCAATCAGATGTACCTGCCCGCCAACGCCTTGCTTAGTGAAAAAGAGAAAGGCAGAAGAAGAAGAATGAGATACGAAGAACGAAACAAAAGCTACGTCGCCCGGATGACCTGCGGCAGCGGAGCCGGGGCGTTGCGCATCTCGACGGCGACGCGCGTATCGTGGATGCGGCGGTCGAACGTCTTAAACTCAAAGACGCCCTCGAGGTCGCGGCGAATGTTGGCCAGCTGCTCGTGGGCCTTGAGGATCTCGTCGGGCTTGTTGTCCTGCAGGACGTGGACCTTGACGAGGAAGATCCAGCGCGGGCCGGATCGGAGGGGGTGAAGCCCGTCTCCCAGGCGCCGACGCGGGCGAGGGGCGTGCCGTCCGGGGTCGGGGGCAGCTGGTAGTGACGGAAGAGACAGAACTCGGCATCGTCGCGGTAGAACTGGAACGTCTCCTCGATGGCCTCGCTCTTGAGCCTGGGGATTGCGTCAGCGCCTTGTCAGATCCTGCTCACGGTGGGGGCATGGAAAGGCATGGTAAGGCATGAAAGCATGAGGCATGGAGCGAGCGGTGGGGGTGGTGCAGGAGGCGATCGTACTGGTACTTGTTGTCGCGCATGATGGAGGGCAGGTTGCGCTGCTCCCAGATCTCGTTCTTCTTCCGCTGCGTGACGGCGGAACCCTTGTGCGGCGGATCGGGGAAGTCGGTCCAGCGCAGGACGCCGGCGCGGGCGTCAAAGTCAGCAGGCGTTTCGGTGCCAAAGTCCTTGTCCTTGAAGACCTCGTATCGGGCCTGGATGACGTAGGACTGGCGACTCAGCTGCTGATGAAGGTCTTTCCACAGGCCGGGCACATCTTTACGCTGAGATTTGACGATGGAGTTCTGGTTTGAGATGCCATTGGGTCGTGAGGGGCCTTTGAAGTAGAGGACGCGATGGAGGCTCTCCCAGGGTGGCATGGCGCAGAGGCCGGCGAGGATGGAGCATGTTGCCTTGATGTCCTCATCGGCGACAATGGTGGACAGAAAGACTTCGTACATGGCGGAGAAACCCACGGGTGACCCCTTTGTCGATCGACTATGCGAGGGGTGGTGAGGGCTTCGTTTGAGGTTGGTGGTGGCAGGTCTGGAGGTGAGCTTCTGTGTATCTATTGATTCAGTGAGTGACAAGGCTTCTGCTGAGGTAAGCCGCCTTTGACACCTGCCCGGTATCATTTGGTTTCACACGAGGGACCAGCTTCGGGCCTTGCATGTCACGTGGTCTCCCGTCCACTGCGCGCGCTGCAACGCGCTGGAGCTTCTGCGAGGCGCGCTTTCAGGGTCTTCCCCCACTTGATCCAGAGCAGCAGCCAAGAGAAGCACGAAGCAGGTTCAGCGACAGGCAGCCATTGAAGACTGGCAGCACCCCAATGCCATGCCTATATAATCGACTACCCATTAGATACACTAGGATCTTTAGACATTCATTCCCCATTCTCGATATTCATCGAACGCATCTACCGGCCACCATGTCCTCCTCGTCCAAGCGCAAGCCCTCCGATGCACCAGTATCACCACCCCCTCTCAAGAGGAAGCTCGCTTCCGGCACCACAAGTGAGCCAAACAACTACACCCCGCCTTTCTCCCAGGATCAACACTGATAATATGCAGAGGGCGCGGTCGCCAACTTCTTCACCCCAACATCCCAGAAACCCAAGGACCGCACCGCCTGGTCAGAGCGCGCCCCGAACAACGACACGCCAGCAACCTTGCTCGTTGCCAAGTACGAACCTGAAGCCAAAGAAGAGACTTCGACAAACAAGAGGCGGAAAGTGGCCGCCTTTGATCTTGTATGCAACAACTGCTAGAGCCCGTACGCCTGAGGCTCCTCTCGGCTAACAATCCAGGACTCGACCCTCATCGCGACATCTTCAGGCAAGAAGCACGCCTCCGACGGCAATGATTGGAAATGGTGGCACCCCTCTGTGCCGGCCCGCCTCAAACAACTCTACAACGATGAAAAGTACAAACAAGCACCTTCCCTTAAGCTGTTTGACTGTGACCTAAGATGCACCCCGCTAACCTTTGGCGCCCAGCTACCGCCTCATCATCCTCTCCAACCAAGCCGGCCTGACCCTACACCCGGACCCCAAATCCAAAACCCCCAAAGCAAACGCCGCCAAGCGCGTCTCCGACTTCAAGACGAAATGCGCCGCCGTCCTCGCCCAGCTCGACCTGCCCGTCACCCTCTACGCCGCCACGGCAAAGGACATGTTCCGCAAGCCCCGCCCCGGCATGTGGCACGAGCTCTGCCGCGATCACGACATCACGGAGGACGTCGACCTTGCGAGCAGCCTCTTCGTAGGCGACGCCGGCGGGCGTGTCGCTGCCGGTGCGACAGCCCGCGACTTCAGCTGCTCGGACCGCAATCTCGCGCACAACATCGGCGTCCCCTTTAAGACGCCTGAGGAGTTCTTCCTCGACGAGCCGCCGCGCGTCTTTGCGAGGGAGTTTGATCTCGCGCTGCACCCGTACGTTGAAGCCGCAGGCACAGACAAGGGCGAGGGCGCGGACGAGGCGCCCCTCTTCGAGAAAAAGAACAAGCAAGACGTCGTACTGTTCTGCGGCCCGCCCGGCGCGGGCAAGAGCACATTCTACTGGAGACAGCTCCAGCCTCTGGGCTACGAGCGCGTGAATCAGGACATACTCAAGACGCGGGACAAGTGCGTCAAGACGGCGAGGGAGCTCCTCCAGGGCGGAAAATCCGTCGCCATAGGTACAAGCCGCCCCATGGCAAGGGATGAGAAACAATGCGTGGCTGACAAAACATGCCCTCCAGACAATACAAACGCCGACCCCGACACGCGCGCCGTGTGGGTCAATCTCGCCAAGCAGCACGACGTCCCCGTGCGCTGCGTGTGGTTCAAGACGCCCCTCTTCGTCTGCGAGCACAATGATGTCGTCAGGGCGCTCAACACAAAGGTAAGCCCTAGAATCCTGGCTCGATCGTGTTTCTCCTTGCGCTTGACGACCCTTTCTTCCGCGACTAGCCTGCTGACGACGCTAGATGAATCCCGAATCCAGGACGGCGCTGCCGCAGCTCGCCTTCAACGGCTTCAAGTCGCGCTTCCGCGAGCCCAAAGCCAAGGAGGGCTTCCAGGACGTGACGGAGCTGGAGTTCAAGTTCCGTGGCACGAGGGAGGAGCATGGCGTGTGGGCACGGTACTGGATCTAAGCCTGGTCTGCGGTTACGATATTTGATACCCCGGATAAGGCATGGTGAGGCGGGGCGCAATTCGCACTCATGTTCTTCGCGTCAACATGGAAAATGGTATTATTCCAAGGGAAGCACTCTGGCCAACCCAGTCTACTAGATCTATAGAAAGAATGCTCAACCCCCGCGAAGAGGGGAGCGCTGCCCAACGCCGAAACCATGCGATGCTAAAGAAACCATGCACACTGATCGTCACCTGGCGAGCCATACAATATGCTACTTCTCGCTGAAGCTCCCGTCGCTGTTGCCCTGGTAGAACCTCTCAAACACCCTCGCCTCGAGATCCTCCTCCGTGGCCCCCGCGTCCTTGCGGACCATGAGGTTGTGCCTGCGGAGGTACACCCTCTTGGCCCACTTCCACCCCTCGGCGCCCGCGAAGAACAGGGCCGTCATGGCGATGGCGATGCCCCACTCCTTGTCGATGCCGTCGTGCAAAAAGACGACGTGGTCGATGACGGGGATGTACAGCGTCGGGAAGACGCTGATGGTGCCGAGAATGACGGACCAAAAGAGGAACTTGTTGCGCCATAGGCGCTGCGCCCAGCGGCGCGTGTCGCTGACCATTCCGTCGAAGAAGGAGCGGCGTGAGTCGACGAGCTCCCAGGCGAAGAAGAGGAATATCCACATCATGGCCGTGTAGCAGGTCGAGCGGGCACGGAAGACGTCATTGCACTGCTCGGACCACTCGAGGTTGCAGTCGCGTCCGAGGTTGCCGCCGTAGAAGCCAAAGATGACAATGACAAAGGAGCTGAGGATGCAGATGGCCATGAGCACGCCATAAGCAGCAATGTCAGCGAGGAACTCGGGCGTGAAGACACCGTATTTGAGCTGGTCATTGAGTTAGCAAGGTTTGGAGATACATGAAAGACTCAACTTACACTCTGCGGCGGGCGGTTGAGAATGTCGGGAGAGGCCGACTCGAAGCCCAGGCCAGTCTCAGTAAAGGCACCAGCGACGAGGAGCATGAACAGGATCTCAACAGGCGTCAGCTGGAAGATGGAGACACCGTCCTGATCCTTGTAGGCGAGACCGATGAGCAGGGTCGTGACAAAGCCGACGTTGGCGGCCAGAACGTGCAACATGAACTTCTGGACGTTATCGAAGATCCGGCGTCCCTCTTCTACGGCGTTTAGGATGCTTGCAAAGTTGTCGTCGCTGAGAACAATGTCGGAGGCAGACTTGGCGACGTCGGAGCCACCTTCTCCCATGGCGATGCCCACATCTGCACGGTGCAGGCTAGGGCTGTCATTGACACCGTCGCCTGTCATGGCAACGTAGCGGCCGCGGCGATGAAGAGCATCGATCATCCTGACCTTGGTAGACGGCGCGCATCGCGCGACGACGAGAGGCAGCTCGGGCAGTTGATCGACTTGTTCGTCCGTCAACTGGTCAAAGTCGTGTGCTGTCATAACCATGCCCTCGGCAATATCCCTCCGCAAAAGATCCATCCGCGACGGAAGGATGCCGACTTCACCGGCGATGGCACGTGCAGTCTCAGGGTGGTCGCCAGTCAGCATGTGGACGCCAATACCGGCCTGGTGGCACTTGAAGACGCTGGGCCGGGATTCCGGACGAGGGGGGTCGTAGATTCCGACGAGACCACGGAAAATAAGGTCGTCTTCAAACTCGTCACGCTTCAGATTGCCGGACGAAGCCTCCTTTTCGGTGACAGCGCGGACCGGGGACTTGCTGGCCAGTGCAAGGACACGCAGGCCGCGGCGTGCAAGCGCCTCCATGTTGGCCAGGATGTCAGCTTTGATGGCATCCGTCATGGGAGTTGTGCCATCGCTCGTAGCAGAGAAGGAAGTACAGCTGTCGATGACGCGCTCGACAGCGCCCTTGGTGAAGGCGTGGACCACCCCAGTGACCTCATTTTGGAAGAGAACAGACATTTTCTTGATGGCAGAATCAAAAGGGAACTCAGCAAGCTGCTTCCACTCCGAGGAGCTGGCCAACAGCGGGCTTGTGCGTCCGAAACGCGTGGCAAGGACTTGTATCGCAATCTCTGTGGGGTCACCAGATGCTTTCCACACTTGCGTGCCGGGTGCATCTTCGGAATCGACCTTTTGGACGGTAGCAAGGTTGGCAAGCGAGGCGACATCGAGGTAGTGGCGAAGGGCTGAGTGGGCAGCGGCCTCATCGAGGGGCATGACTTTTGCGCTCTCAGTATCTTCGGCGGGAATGTCCTTGGGCTCAGCGACTGTGAAGCTTACGCCGCCGACCTCGGGGTTGTACGGTTCGTTGCTCATGCCCACAGAGTAAGTGCCGAGGCTGGGAAGCCACGCCATTCTGACGACCATCTTGCCCTGCGTCAAGGTGCCAGTCTTATCGGAACAAATATCTGGTCACGTTAGTCACGTCCATGGTCAGCGCTAAGAGAGGGCAACTTACTGGTGACGCCACCTAGAGCTTCCAGGGAGCGCATGTTGCGCACGAGAACGTTCCGCTCCACCATGACCTTGGTTCCCGCGGCCATGGTGATGGTAAGGACGAGGATGAGTGTGACGGGGAGTGTGCCAATGGCCGTCGCGACAGCATAGATAATGACATCGCTTCGCCCCTTCATGCCGTTGGCACCGAGAACGATGAGAGCGCAAACGATAGCGAACATGAAAATGTACAGAAACAGGCGGGAAAGCTTGCGCTGCAGGGGTGTGCCGACAGTCAAGCCGAGGAAAGCGCCGCACCAGTCCCAGAGGCAACCAAGGGCGTACATGGAATGAGCGGCAAGGCTAACGTTACCATCGGCGTCTTTCTTGGGCTTGCGCTTGTCGCCGCCCTGGTCGTGGAGAGCAGCGGCAATGGCTCCAATTTCGGTTGACATGCCGGTAGCGAACACGACAGCGCGTCCGCGGCCTTTGGTAATGGTAGTTGAGCTAAAGGCGACGTTCAGGCGATCGCCGGGTCCGGTGTCTTCGCCGTCGAAGGTGGCCTTGGGATCTTTGCGCGCGGGGACGGATTCGCCAGTGAGGAGTGCCTCGTCGGCTTCGAGGTTGACGGTATCAAGAAGGCGAACGTCAGCGGGGACCATGTCGCCCGTCTTCAGTTCAATGATATCGCCGGGAACGAGAGTCGCCTTCTCCACCGTGGTGCTTGCTCCGCCCCGGATGACATTGGCTGTCGGCGAGTTGAGGGATTGCAGTGATGCGATAGTTCTGGCGGCCTGCAAGTCCTGAAAGAAGCCAATGACGACGTTGATGAGAATCAGGGCGGCAAGTACACCACCTTCGATCCAAGCTTGAATAGCAAAACTGGCTGCGAGAGCGAGAAGAAGAACCTGCGGCAGGTGAGCGTTTGAAACACAATGGCAGTTGGTGACTGGAGATGCGTACCATGACCATGGAGTTGACAATCTGGGCGATAAATATTTGGAGTGGACGAACACCCTTTTCCTTCTCAAAGTCGTTGACGCCATACTTTGAAAGACGCAGAGAAGCCTCCTCGACAGTCAAGCCGGCGGCTGAGTCTGTCTGGAGTTCTTCCACAACCTGTGCGGCAGACAGAGCGTGCGCCGGCGCCGTCATGGGTTCGTTTGCCTGGCCAGAAATATGGCCTTCTGTGGCTTGGTGTGCCTGCTTTTCCGACATGGTGGGCGGCCGCCGAGTAGGCGAGGTGTCGTTTGAAGCTGGGGTGTTGAGGTAGGGCAGTCAATGAATGCGCTTGATGTTCAGTGAAGGACAAACAAGCATGGTAGAAGAAGACGAGGACCAAAGACTATTAATATAAGCACCTTTGGCGGCGACAGAAATTCAAGGCGTGGGACCACCATTGCGAAGTCGATTCTCTACTACCCAAAGCGCTGCTCCAAGAGGCTTATTTTCCAAAGATTGCCATTCCCGTCAGTCGAATGAGACTGAGGCAAAGAACTGTAAGGCCGTCGTGGCCCCACATGTTGTCGTCCATTGACCTATTCGGGAAGCCAAGACACAAGCGCTGCCGGCCTTGACCGCCTGTCATTACGTACCAGAATCGCGGTAGTGACGATTCACAGCGGCCCGTTCGTCGCCTCCGAGAGCCAAGTGGAGTAGACGACAGGCGGCGGTCCAGGCCTAGCATCTGCCCCGGCCCCCAAAGTCCGGGAATTGTGTCTCGTTCGGGGTGCGTGGGTTGAGGCTCACACTAGGCTCTGACGCAGGGCGTTCCAATCTGCTGCTGCATCGGGCAGCCAAGGCACAGTGACGATGCGCATCTGAGATCTCTACAGATGATCAATCAAGTCAAACGGGGGCCGAAGGCACCGGAGCCGAATGAGTGCAGGGGGACTAAGTCGCCATCGTCCCGTGACTCACCAGCTGGGATCGCATTACCCATCAGGCGAGCGTTGCATTACCGTACCGAAAGACGTGGGCATCAGATCTGATGCTCAATCATACCCGTTTTCGGTACCAATTGATGTTGTTTCGCCAGATTGGATCAAGCCTGAGATCTGTGCGCTTACTGCGAAAGCAACCGAAGACAGAGCAGCCCGCCAAAGTAGGCGACGTTGCGTGTCTCAATCACTCACATGCTCTCGTTCAGAGAAAGCCCATTTCGAGAGAACTCCAGTTGTAATCCATGGCTCCTTCGGGCCCCGGGCGTGAGACCCGACAGGGAACCACCAAGGCTTCGCGAGGGTCCGGGGTGGGGGACAAGGAAGATAAAAGAGCCGCTGAACGCCCGCGAAGCCGCCCCGACTATCGGGCATCTCGTGGAAGGCATAGCAAGTCGCCTTGCCCAGGACCTCTTGCATGAGGTTGAGAAGGTTGGTCAGTATCGGTCGCAGCATGGCCTGTGTCGACTCCCTCGCGGCATTGAGAGGCCCGTTGCCGAGCATCGTTGTCTGAAAGTGCATGGGTCCGTAGCTCGGCGGGCTGGTCGTCAGCGTCATGAACTGGCGAAAGATGTTGGCAGCTTTGTGGGCGTTGACCCAGCCGCTCGGAAATGCTTCGAGGATGCTGACAACGACGGCGATCTCGTCTCTGGCGGGAAAAGGCGATCCCTCTGCCTCACAAGCAATGAACCCGTGTATCAGCACAAGACCTACGGGGAATATGCGACACAGCGTGATCCGGTTGAAGGGAAGCTGGCGCTGTTGAAGGAGGGCAGAGGTCGACTGGAGGTGCTTTTGGGCAAATCTCAGCAGCTCTGTCGCCGAGACACTCGAAGCGAAGGAGTTGAAATGGCAGGGATAATGCAGCAAGATCAGGAGGTGATAGTAGCGGGCACTGAGCCAGGTGATTGAGTTATGAATGGGAATGTTGTCGGCTTCCATGGGCGATACCAGGGAACCACTGCTGTACCAGGCCTCGATATCAGTTCTGAGGTCATGCAGGATGGCACGGCGGTCAGCCTGGGATAACGAGGCAATGTCCGACCTCCTCCGGTGGTGAATGAGGGTGAGAATCCGGCCTTCGAGCTGCCGCAACTGGATGACGTGGCGGTTTGTTTGGAGCGTGGATGCGAACTGCTGTCGTTCTGGTGAAGCGAACTCTTCGATGGTCAAGCCAGGCAGAGGCACGTCCATGTTGTCGTCGATGAGAGCGACGGGCAACCCCATGGACACAGCCATCATGCGATCCAGTACAAATATGCTCCAGAACAGACGATGCCGCAGTTCGAGCTCGACGGCCGCGAGCGACTTGTCTTCGGAGGCGCGCCGACTGAGTCCCAGGAGCATGGCGTGCCTCGAGGCGATGCCGGCCATGGACCAGGCAGACGCCCCGTGGGGATCGAACAGCGAATACAGCGAGAGGAGCACCAGAACCTGGATAGACTCGGTGTCCTCCTTGGCCAAACACTCCTGGATAATCTCGGCATAGGGAACCTCAAACTTGCTGGCCGTGTCCTTGGGCACTTGGCCGGCACGCTCGAGGGAGGTGCAACCAATGGCCATGATGAGGTACAGCACGGTCGAGTCCGGCGTCGCGCTGGCCCATGGCCGTTTCGCCCAAGGCCTCCAGATCGCGCAGGACCTTGTCGCGGTTGGCGAATGGGTAGGCACGGTTGACGTTGCGGAAGTAGGCATCGACAAACCTGCGGGCGGCGGCGTCAGGCGGCAGACCCGGGGTGCCGATGGTGGGTGCGGCGGCGAGACCCGGTCTGCCGGGGCTCGAGAAGATGGAGGGCGGCTGGCTGAGCGGATCGTTCCCCCCTGGGGGTGTCGCGTGAGAACTGACATGACGGACGCCTTCTAGGGGATCAAAGGGTCGACTAGAAGCATGACGCTGCAGTGGCGCCGCAAGCGAGGGTGTTGTCGGGAGAACTCCCTGACTGGTGTCACTCGCCGCATTCGATCGTCGACTGTGGTCAACGAAGGACGACAGATCAGTGCCCGTGTCGATGGAGGCTATGCCGGTAGGGCCGACGGGGACGTGCTTGTTGATGAAGCTGGAGAGCCATTCCACCCTGGCGCGCAGATGATGCGTCTGCGCCGCTGTTGAGTCAAAAGGCGTCGAGAGGCTGCACCTGGACCCGGCATTGGCGCAGAGGGTGCAAATGGGAAAAGTACGACTGCACTTCTTCTTGAAATGGCGGCAGCGTCACAAGCAGGTATCTCACGGGCGGCCTTGGCGGGGGGAAGGCCGTCTGAGGGGCCGGGTCTCTCGGCAGACAAGGGCCCTTCATTGGAGGATGCCACTGAAGTGATGGTGCTCGTGCCGTTGCCAGTGGGGGGTGAGGCAGACCGTCGTCGGGAGCGGTGCCGAAGACAACGTGGACGAGGGATCGGCGTGAGGGTCGGAGATGGACGAGCGTCGAATGCGAAAGCGGTGGACATTTGTTTGCATATCCGCTGCGGATGCCATGATGGAAGAAAAGACACAGCCAGACAATTCAGCCAGCGGCAATGTCCGACGGGCATGCAATCAGATGGAAACAGGGGGGGGGGGAGTGGTCCAGCCAGTATCGAGGATCGTGGTGACTCGTGAATGGTTGATGATGGGGGAGAAGCAAAATGGTTGTGTGGTTGTGCATGCTTGGCTGTCGGGAGGGGCCGATCTGGGGAGCACCTTCCCAGCATGTCGTGCCTGGTTGCTCGTCGGCGCGAGCCCGACTTCGGCGCTGATTATGGCGTGCTAGGGACAAAAAAGGCTGGCCACTGTATAAGTGCCCCTGAAGAACCCCTAAGCTCACAGTCCGCTCCGATCACGACACAGTCCGCACACCACCCGATGTCGCCCCCCCAGCGATGAGGATTCACGACTCGACTGGCACCTTGATCATCTGAGAGTCTCTCGCCATTGGAACCATCGTCTGGCTCATCATCTTACGACCACTCATGATTTTTTTTTTTATTTGCTCTGCCTTTCACTCTCTTGACGATTTCTTCAATGACGACATATGAGGCTTGTGCTACGTAAATCCCGCATCATCTGGGATAGTATATCAAACCCAAGACGAGCTCCTCTCTCGAGTTGGATAGCGGCTCGAGCGGCTTCCTCATTTCACACCACCATGTCACCCCACCGGCTCGAGAATACGCTGGCTGTGAGCCGCGTCGCCGTCATTGGAGCGGGCGCCAGCGGCCTGGCAGCTGCAAAGTACCTCCTCGCTGAGAAGAAGTTCTCCGACGTCCGCATATTCGATCAGAGGGATACAATTGGCGGCACGTGGACGTATAGTCCTCTGTCTGTCATTGATAATGATTTTACTGTTCCCCGGACGTCCCCTTCCAAACGGCCAGATACGGCCATCAGGACTGATGACAGTGCGAGCCCTCAATTCGTCTCGCCGGTCTACGACTTTCTCGAGACAAACATCCCCCATTCTCTCATGAATTACACCGACCTGGAATTCGCCCAAGGCTCGTCCCTCTTTCCCGAGCATGCCGTCGTCAAGCGCTATCTCGAAGAGTATGGCAAGGGCCTGACGCCGCACCTGTCTCTGTCGACCCAGATACTCAGCGTCTCCAAGACGGACAAGGACGGTGCCACTGTCTGGGAGGTCGAGACGCTGGACCTCGGGACCGAGGAGGTCAAGCGCTTCGAATTCGACGCCGTCATGGTCGCGAGCGGCCACTATAACGATCCCTTTATCCCGGAGATCAAGGGCTTGGCAGAGTACAACGCCGCCCATCCCGGCGTCATTTCCCACTCCAAGTTCTACCGAAACCAGCTCCAGTTTGAGGGCAAGGTGTGTGCTCTCCACTGCTGTCCCTGTTGTATTCTGAGGAATCAGTACTGACGCCCCCCAGAAAGTCGTCATTGTCGGCAACTCAGCCTCTGGCATCGACCTCAGCGCCCAGATTGCGACCGTCTGCCAGCACCCCGTGCTCGTGTCCGTCAAGACGGAGCTCAAGACGGCCGAGGACGAGGCCGAGGGCGCCATCCTCAAGCTCGTGCCCGAGATTACCGAGTTTGTGCCCGAGACGCGCAGC